TTAACTAATTTAATCCACACAACAGCTCTATGGGATAGAGAATAGACAGTATCTTTAAACTTGATTGAAATCCACCAGATCTTAAGTACTGAAGCCAGGGTTCAAATGCTGGCAGCCTAGAAGCAATCTAGTCCTTCTTGCCCTTGGTTCCACTGGCGTCCCCAGTACTTGACCTGACTTTCCACTTGTGTGGCGTCACTCTCTTCACAGCCACATCTCAGTCTTAGTCTTCCTCTTTGCTGGTCATGAATCTAACTTCCTTGTCCTCTTTGTGGGTTTCTGCTTTTGTTCGCAGGGGAAATCTGCCAGGGAACCTGTGCACATTCCGCATAGCACACACAGAGCCACATGCTGCCCTGACCACAGCAAGGTTATGACCACACTGGGCTGTGACCTCAAACTTGTGTTCTCCACAGAGGAAAGCCTGACTTCAGAAGGGTCAGCTAGTCGTGTGAGATCAGATTGTTCAGATGGCAAAAATGAGCCAGAAAGTCTACATTTATTTCTAGAATAAAATTTTACTTCTAAATCACTTCCCCTTGCAGTGATCATAAGAGTCCTAGTCTGAGGGCATGTGATTACTCAGCCAATTTCATCCCCAAAGTCTGCAATTATAGGAATCAGATATTTCTGAAACCTCATTTGTTTGTATTAGATGCTCTAAAATCTGTTTAAAACAAAAAGGTATGTCTGTTTGAATATATCGGTGTCTCTACTTGGTTCCAAATTGGTAGATTAAACTGCTCTTGAAACGGAGAGGCAGCAGCCAGCCATTCGAAATGCCAAGTGAGCACATTAAAACAGAAGCCTTGCTTCACATTGTGAGTCTCCATGAGACTGAGTCGTAATTACCCGCACCACTTCCCGAAACAGCTAGTTACATCTACTTGGGGTTTTTGAATGAAGTGAAATCCTATGGTGACATTAAAAACACGCATTTCCTTTGTGTTTTGAAAGACTCACTTGACACTGTTCTTACTCATGTAATCCATCCCAACAGGACAAATTCTAGGCACTAGGCACTATGGAGAGATTAAAGTTGTGTGATAATAATAACAATTAACACCCATGGAGCACTTATGTGCCAGTCACTGTGCCCAGTGCTTTACTCAGTGTTCTTTTACCTCTCACCACACTTACGAGGTACGTACTATTTTTGTCTTCATCTTTTTGGTGAGGGACTTGAAGTCCAGAGAGCTGAAAGTGAATTATAGTGCTAGTGAAGAGTGGAACAGAAATGTGAGCCTAGTTCATCTATCTTCAAAACCTTTGCTTGTAACTTCTGTGTATTCCTATCTAGAAGAAGAAACAATGAAAGTGAACAGAATGTTTTTTCACTGATAACATTGTACTTCTGATTAAAACTCATTTTGTGTGGTAGTGAGGCCATTGTAGGGAAGGGAGGAAGAAGGCTCAGCAGGGTGGGTCAGGCAAGCCTTTTCCATCTTAAAGGCACCCTCCCTCTCTGTGACCTCTTATTGAGGACAACTGAGTCCTGAATGGTAGGCTTGAGATGGAGTCCTGTGAGGCGGGGTCAGGCATGGCAGAAGGATTGGACAGGGCTGTCTGCACAGAGTACTAAGCCCAGGACTCTCTGCTGAGCAGAAATGCAGACATCTTTTATAGGAAGTCAGCTCAGATGCCTCAACCCAGTAGGAGGCTGGGACCCCACTCTTAACTACTACTTGGTGTCTCTCTTCCTTCTACCTCCCAGCTTCTTAAAACCAGCAGCTATGTCAGTTGGGGCTCTTGGTTACTAACCACAGAAGCCAATTCTGGTATACTAAAATAGAAAAGTTAATGACTAAAAAGGTACCTGGGATCTCACAAATGAATGGGAAGCCTAGAGAAATAAATGAAAACATGAACTGGCCTCTGAGGATAGGAACAAAAGTACCTTCAAGACCAAGATGGAGTGAGGAAGGATGCCACCCTGACCAGCCTCAGCCAGAATGCAGCCATTTCGCAGCCATTTCTTGCCCTATCTCTTTTTGCAACTTAGGGTCACTCCCTCCAAAAAGTATAAAGGTCTGATTGGTTATAAGTGGGTCATTTATCTGTGGAAGATGGGAGGTCATGATGATTTGGGGAGGCAGGAATATCAAAACTCTACTAGCTTCCAATAAATTCCCATAAGACCCTCCCAATTTCAAAGGGATGAAAACAAATAACCTGAAATCTGAGAGTCAGCCCAGAGAGATGCAAAATAGAGGAAGGGGCTGAGAGGACAGGTCTTGTCTTCTAATTAATATATAGCTCCCTTGTTCCTGTTCTTTTAAAGCATGTGCACTTATGAGAAAGAGAAAGAAAGAGAGAGAGAGAGAGAGAGAGAGAGAGAGAGAGAGAGAGAGAGAGAGATCGTGTTGTAGATAGGAATTAAACTAGTGAGTTTTGCATACTTTACTTACAAACACAGGTGGGTTGGATTTGGCCTACAGACAGTAGTTTGTTGACCTTTAGGCAGGACAAAGGTGCTTGATCTTAGGTAACCATGGAGACTGTCTAAGTGATAAATAAGTGGATGGCTCTTTTTATTGAGAGGGTTTTGCTATAGGGCGTGTGTGCTCGCCAGACAGGCAGAGAGAGACAGAGAGACAGAAAGCGAGAAATCATCCGCCAGGGGGGGATGGCCACGCCACAATCCCTTTTCTCCTCCATTCTCCTCTTGGGATCTTGGGCATGCACGCACATGCACCTGGTGTGAGTTTTAAGCCACCGGGTCTGGGACGCGAATCACAGTCGACTACATGGGAGTCCAGCGACATAGCCATTACGCTAACTGCTGGTCCCAGGTGGGTGGCTCTTAACTTGCAAGGAACACTTTAATATTTGCTCTAATGGGAATATTCTTAACATTGCTCTCTTAATAGTCAACATTATAAGAAAAGCTTTAGCTTTAGGTGTATTAGTACATTTTACAATCCATCAACCTCATTAACTATGAATTATCATCCCCATTTTTTAAACAAAACAAAACAAAAAGATTAAGCAATTTCAGCAAGTTACATAGGAAGGCGTTGAGATCCCAATCCTACATGTTTGCCATGATACTACATTATATTATCTGGTGGGATGTGTACTCCCAGTAGTATTCGCAAATACTGCCATATGTGATTTATTTGTTTTATTTATTTTACTTTTTAAAAAGGTAAGTGATAGCAGATTCAGGATTGTCAGTCTTATTTCTTAGTAAGGGAAAATTATAGTTAGAACCCTCATTGATACTTGTTCTCTAAGTACTCATGGCAGGAGTTTGTGCTAGTGTCATTTACCCCTGCAGAAAACCTGTGAGAAGTGCTGCTGAAGGTGTTAGGAGTAGTAGCGATGGGATTTGAAGGAAGCTTGTCATTAAATCGCTCTATGGGGACAACACTAGCATCTAAAATGCTATTCCTTTTGATTTTAGGTAGCCCCTCCCTGGCTCACACCTGAGAATCTTTAATACATGTCCTGAGCTCTCAAAATCTATCTCTTCTTCACAAACTCACAAATCCAAGGCAAATCTTAACTAATGTGATTTTTTTGTTCCTGACCTAGGATTGCCAATTCAGAAGAATGATGAAGAAAGAGAAGGAGGGGGACCAGCAGTTAGCATAATGGCTATGTCGCTGGACTTCTACGTAGTCGACCACGGTTTGCGTACCGGACATGGTGGCTTAAAACTCATGCCTGGTGCGTGTGCGTGCGTGCCCAAGATCCCGAGAGGAGAATGGAGGAGAAGGGACTGCGGCATGGCCATCTCCCCTAGGGGGTGATTTCTCACGTTCTGTCTCTCTGTCTCTCTCTGTCTGCCTGGTGAGCGCACATGCCCTATAGCAAAAATCTCTCCAAAAAAAAAAAAAAAAGAAAGAAAGAAAAGAAAGAGAAGGAGTAAATATGGTTCTTTTAGTCAAAGGCCAACCTCATGTGCACATGTGCAGTAGTGAAGAGAGCCAGGTCTCACATGGCTAACAGTAGTTCAAATCCCTGCCTCAGGAGGCCTGAAAAATATGTTAGGCATATGCGCAGGTATGCCCCAAATCCTGCCCGAATAGAAAAACAAAGGGAATGCAACATGACTATGCCCCATTGGGGGTGCTTTATCCTCTTCCTTTCTCTCTGGGTCTCTTTCTGATGTGTGTATGTGCTCTCTGACAGTTAAAAAAATACATATTAAATAAAGTTTTTAAATAAAAGACTATAGTCATAGGTCAGTGGTGATGGCACCATGGTAATGCAATACTCTGGGATGCTAAGGCCATGTGAGTAGGTCCTAGGTTCATATCCTGAGTTTCCCTGTGTGCGCTGGGCATATGTATGCCTGTGATCCTGGCTTCCTGAAGCTGGGGCAGGGGGTGTGTTATCATAAAAAGAACGCGAGACCCAGTTTACCCCCATAGCATTTTAAGAACAAAAGCCATCTATGTTATCATTTGTAAATGTAAACTGAATACCTAAGATAAGAAATTAGAATCAGCTGCTGGCTTCCTGAAGCTGGGGGGTATGTTATGATGTGAGGCCCTGATGGGGGTATCTTACTCTCTCTCTCTTTTTCTTTCTTATAGAAGAAATAAACTTTATTAAAAAATAATTTAATTGGGGCCTGCAGGTGGCATGGTGGTTAAGGGCTCTGAAATCCTACATGGTTGACCACGATTCAAGTCTCGGACCTGGGGGCTTGCTTTCTCATTTTCTGCCTCTCTCTCTCTCTCTTACTCTGTCCCTCAAATTAAAATGAATAAATAAGTAAAGTTAAATAAAATAGCTCTTTAAAAATAATTTAATCATGGCAGTAGAGAGAAAAACGATACAACATCTTCTTAATTTCTACTAGAAATAATGATGTATTTTCTGAGGACAGGAAGAAGGAAAAGTCTCTGCCCCACGGTTGCTTTTGAATGTTTCATGATCCAGCAAAATGTCTCCTACAGCCCAAGGAGAAAGCTCATTGGTTGTCCCAGCTGTCCTTTCAGCGGTATACTAGCTCAGCAGAGGCCCTGCAGTCTCTTGATGTCAGTATGCGAAAGGAGAACTATGGGTTAGAGGAACGTTGGTGGTACCAGAAGGAGAGAATGGCAGCAAGTAGAAGAGACAGTCTTAAAATCAGGTGAGTGGAAATCCATATTGGACGTATTTTTCTGTAGGTTTTCTATTGTACTCAACTATCACAAAAAGAACAGGAGACCCAATTTACTCCCATAGCATTTTGAGAACAAAAGCCATCTACATTATCATTTGAAAATATAAACTCAGTACCTAAGAAATTAGAATAAGCCACCTGGCCAGGGGGATTACCATGGAAATTACGACCTGTTTTTTTTTTAATCATTTTTTTAAATGCCAGAGTGTGTGTGTGTGTGTGTGTGTGTGTGTGTGTATGTAAGTGTGTGTGAGAGAAATCAAGAGTTCTAATGGGGGCCTGGTCATGTCACAATCCTTTTTTTTTTCTATTTCTACACGCTGTTAGGATCTTGGACAATTGTACATATGCATGGCACATAATTTTAAGCCTTTGGGGCTAAGATTTGAACCACGGTCAGTCATGTGAAATCCAGCTTTCTCTGTACAACACTTCATCACTGCACTGTAAAGCTGGCCCCACAGCCTGACTTATTAAGAGTATTTGGTTGAATTGATGGAATCATAATTACAGATCGAAAAAGAAAAATTTGGGGACCAGCAGATGGAGTAGTAGTTACATCACTGGACTCCCACATGGCCAACCAGGGTTCGAGTCCTGGACCTAGTGATTTGAAACTCATGTTGGGCACCTGTGTTTGTGTGTGTGCCCAAAATCCCAGAGGAGAATGGGATTGTAGTGTGGCCATTCCCCCTTGGGGGATGATTTCTCACATTCTATCTCTGTCTCTCTGTGTTTCTTTGGTGAATGCTCACACTCTATAGCAAAAATTACTCTCTCTAAAAAAAGTAAAAAGGAAAATCTCCTACTGGGAAAAAAAACAGCAACCTAACCTTGGAAGTTATACCCCTTTTGGTATATTCTATTCCTTAAGTGTGAATCCACTCAAGAGAAAGGATTACCCAAGGGCATGAAGACCAGAAGTCATGATTACCAAGTATCATTTTAGTAGCTGCCAACTACACATAACTAACTTGATGACCAATTGTAGTCTTTAGATTTAAGTCTAAATGACTTTTGCTTGTCTTCAAACACCAAATCCACCCTGAAATGATAAAGGTTCATCAACACTTGAGGCTATTAAAGAAACGAGTCTGTTGTGACTTCTTAAAAGTATTAAACATCTGGGGACCAGCAGTTAGTGTAATGGCTATGTCGCTGGACTCCCACGTAGTTGACTGCGGTTCAAGTCCTGGACCTGGTGGCTTAAACTCATGCCGGGTACGTGTGCGTGCATGCCCAAGATCCCAAGAGGAGAATGGAGGAGAAGGGATTGCGGTGTGGCCATCCCCCTGGGGAGTGATTTCTCGCTTTCTATCTCTCTGTCTCTCTCTGTCTTTCTGGCGAGCGCACATGCCCTATAGCGAAAACCTCTTCAAAAAAAATTATTAAAAAAAAGTATTAAACATCTGAACAGTTGAAAAGAGTTTGTCAAAAGAGACAACATTGGAACCAGCAGTTAGCGTAATGGCTATGTCGCTGGATTCCCACGTAGTCGACCGCGGTTCGTGTCCCGGACCCGGTGGCTTAAAACTCACGCCAGGCGCGTGTGCGTGCGTACCCAAGATCCCGAGAGGAGAATGGAGGAGAAGGGATTGCGGCGTGACCATCCCCCCTGGGGGGTGATTTCTCGCTTTCTGTCTCTATGTCTCTCTCTGTCTGTCTGGCGAGTGCACGCGCCCTACAGTGAAAATCTCTCCCCCCCCAAAAAAAAAATAAAAATAAAGAGACAACATTCTTTTGCATATATAAAATCCAAGACTGTGAACCTCATCAATTTCCTTCACATTGTATTCATGTTGGTAATTAATAAAAATAAAATGAATCTATTTTCCAAAGTAAAAACATGCGTATTAAGCACCTATAACATCTATGGGCCTTTACAAGGGCAAGAAAAAAAGTGATTCCCTCAGTCACTTGATTTGGTCATTGGAGCCTCCATACAGGCAGCAGAGATTCGAGTGCTGGAGTTCAGCTCCTCTCGGCACCTGCTCTAGACCTGATATGGGCTGTCCCCAGTGCAGTGTTGTATCCAGCGTGGATAGCACAGTGGGAAGGAGACCCAGTACAAGATGGTGTATTTTGCCCATCTGGTCTCTAAAAATTTTATTGCTTTGAAAATTTAATTCTCGTAGTTTGAAAGAAGGAAAATTCATATTTAGAAACTTGAAGCTATAGTGAATCAGGAAAAAGTGATATCTCGATTTCTGGGTGCTTCACATCTTACCGACCTGCATCCAGGCTTTGGATTGCTTGTAAGAGCTATGCAAAGAATGCAAAGTGGAGATTCTAACTTTTTAAATGGGAACTGAAGAAGGGCTGACACTTTCCCTTCACATACTTTGACATTATCATATAAACTTACCCTTTGTCTCCACCGGGGATCCAGACCTTGGCTTAAGCCAAATTCCCTACTTCATCTAACTTGCTCCTGGTTCTAGTTATTAAGCCAGAGATTTATTCTAAACACAGGTTGTCACTGCTTTGGTCTTCTTATCTCTGTCTCCAAAGCTAAGTTATACATTAGCAAGACCATTAAGGGGTGGGGTAAGATGAGAAGGCAGAATGTTTAACTTACTAGGAACTAGTGCAGGCCTCTGGGGTCACTCAAAGCCAGAAAGAAAGGAGCAAATTGAAGGTAGCTCTGTTTTCCTGCTGGCATCTGAGTAGAAAGGAGGTGTACAGGGGGCAGAAGGAGAAAGACTCGGGCCAACTCAGCTCTTCTGAATACTTCTGCTCTTCACCTAGGAGCCATAGACTGAGAGGCTCTCTGATTTCCACTCAGAGAAGAGAGTGCTGAAGAGCTAGAGTAGAGGAAATTAGTTCATTAGTGGGAGAAGAGAGACCAAATGCTGGGACTCAAAACAAATTTTTAAAGTCTATTTTCATATATACTGTATATGTAGAAGCTTTATGTCAGGTGATGAAGTGTGTGTGTGTGTGTGCGTGTGTGTGTGTGCATGCATATGCATGTGTGTGTGTGTGACTAGGCATGTGGGAAACTCGACTTTCACTTGTATTCATTTCTGTTTGGTAAGGCCAACATAGGAAGTTTACACTGAAAGTTTATTAGCTAGTTGTTTCCCTCTTTACAATGCAAGTCCTTAAACATGATTTTGTACTTCTCTCCAAACTAGAAGATAGTGCAGACCAGGGGCCAGTCAGTGTCATAGTGTCATAGTGACTAAGGTGGCTGGATCTCCCAAGACTGACTGCACTGTTCAAATTTCAACCTGGTGGCTTGATCAATATACATGTGCGCGCATGCGCAAAATCCCGAGAAGAAAATGGGGGAGAAGGGTTTGTGGTGCGGAGGGCTGCTTTCTCATTTTGTCTCTTTCTTTCTCTCTGGTGAGAACATGTGCCTTATAACAAATTTAAAAAAATAGTACAGAGCAGGATTTCAAAATTACCAGAACCTGCTTCTAATTTCTCACATAAATCCTCCTAATGTTCTCCATGTTTTAAACATTATCAACTCCACATTTTTGTAAGTAGGGTGCTAAAGTCATTTGGTTTGAAGAACCCAGAGGCTAGGGGCAAGAAGCAGGGGCCAGGAAGAACATGCTTAGAATCTGCTACAGAAAGGAATAAAAGAGAAAGGAATAAAAATGAAGTCCAAAGTTTTATGCTGACGAGATATATAAAAAGAGACTAAATTAAAAAAAATTATTACTGCATTTTCAATTTACACTGTATTAAATGATATAATTAATTAACTAATGAAATAGAGGAGATAATAAAGTGGCTGGATCCCACATGGCCTACTGTGTGGTTGAATCCCAGACCTAGCTTGAAAAGCACACCAGGCAATGTATACCTGTGTGCCTAAAATCCCAAAAGGAGAGAGAAATGGAGAAGGTATTATGGGATGACAACCCCTGGGGAGGGGTGCTTTCTCACTTTTTTATTCTCTCTCCCTCTGTCTCTCTTCGGCAAGCCCACACATCCTCTAGCAAATTTAAATAAGTAAATAAATAACATCAAGAAACATCAACAGAAAAAGAGAGATGTTATAGATATGTTATTTGCGGTCCTTATCCATTTGCCCTGAAATGTACTGTAACTATTAAAAGGGGCTGAGCAGCGGAAAAAAAAAATTCTGGAAGAAAATGGAAGAGAGAGGGGAGGACAACAAGTGTAGGACATGCCACATCATGTGACTGTATGCACTTTTTTTCAAGTACACCTGTTATATTTTTTTGTGGATAAAAAAGCATGCTTATGGTAAATACATATTAACAAAGACATTCCGTAATAACAAGTTAATTATTGTCAGAGTCCTTACTGAATTTTTGGCTCAATTTCTAACCTATTTAGCAAAAGTTAGACTTTATATAAATTGACATGCTGCAAATGGTTTGACGAAAGCAATCTCTCTGGGCCACCATGACATCTGGTTGTCAGTGTAGATATGAGGAACTTTTGGTTTGGGTCCTGGCTGAGCACATGCTTTCTTCCCAACTAGTACAACTGGGCTTGATCCTGAATGTCCTTCCCTGGAACTGGTCACAGAACTTTGTAAACTGAGAGTCTCATTTGGAATTGATAGTGCGTGTTCTGGGCAAAAGTAATACTAACATCAATTCCTCCAAAGAGTATGAAAGCAAGACTCATTTTTTCCTCTGTTAATGAACACGAGTAATTTTACAGTTTGGGAGCCTAAGTCCAACATTTAATGCAGAATTAAAATTTAGTATTGACAAATCTTCAAATATTTATTGAGTGTTTCTTAAGCACCAGGTGCTATTACAGGTGCTGTCAGGAGGAGGGAAATCGGAACGCATGATTTTGGCCCTCAAGAATCATCCATTCTGGTGGAGGCTGAAGTACACGCTGTACTCAGATATCCTAAATGGAGAAGATGAAAAGATGGCTTGAGAGCTTCCATGATCCTCCTGAAATTCTAAGTAAAAATACCGAGTGTGTGTGTGTGTGTGTGTGTGTGTGTGTGTATGTATAATTTTTTTCCCCAGGGGTGAATGTCAAGAGTTTTAAATCAGATATTTACCAGGGACTCATTTTCTAATAAATGTAACAACTTAAGTTCTATTTATTATTTATTAATCGTAAAAATGAAAATGAACACTTACTGTTACACCAGGATTTATATTAGCCACTTTATACTTGACTCATTTAATTGCTACAGTAATCCCGCGGGGAAGGTATTATGATTTTCTTTTTTTTACAGATATGAACTGAGAGAGAAGGTGATCTAGGGATACATGATTAATAAATGGCAGTTTGGGATTTGAACTTGGGTCTACTTGACAGCAAAAAGAGAGAGATAAGCACCCTCCGTAGGATCTGGCCATGTTGTGATCCCCTCCCCCAGTTCTCCAGCTGGGCATCTGTGCATGTGCCCAGTGCTTGCCAGGTTGATTAGGCTGGGGATTCAGATTGTGGTTGCCATGGGGGATCTGGTTTCTCTTGGGTAGCATATTACTGCTGCACCACAGAGCTGGTTTGAGTAAATTTTCTAATTTAGTGCTTAGGACATGAGATTTTGAAAATAGCAATACTGTTTTTTTTTTTTTCTTCTATTTTTTAGAGAGTTTTTTGCTATAGGGTGATTTGCTGGAGAGCTGGGGGAGCAGGGTTCAGGGCTGAGATCAGGTGCATCTCTGCCTCAATGCACTGGCCTAGTTCTAGACTAATTCTAAGGATGAATTCCATAGTTTCCGGTCTCCATCGCTCTCCTCAAGGGGCAGCAGTTGATCGGATTCCTCTGCTAGGATTGCTTTAGCTTGTTCAGGGAACCTCCAGAGTATAAAGCTGACCTGCAGACAAAGCTAAGCAGTTACAAAGTGGCACTACAGTGCCCTTGTTTGAGGTTATTATTTATTTTTCTGGTTGACAATCTGTTTTTTGGCACAGTTTCCTTCTTTTTAACTATAGTTGCCACAGCGGGTCTTTGCCTCTCAAAGTAGTCTCTGTACCTCTGTGTGGCCGTGCCCAATTCAGAGCCCCTGGGCATGTTGGGAGTCCTCAGACTAACAAGCGGTGCTGCTCCCTTGCCTGTTTCTGGGCCCGTGAATTATTCTCAGAGAGGGCATCTGTGGGCCTCCACCTATTTTGCTGTCCCTCCAAATGTGCTAACACAAGGCTAGATCTTTCAAACTTAACCTTCCTCTCCATTTTCCCATGCATTTCACTCAGCAAATGACAGGTGGACAGAAGTAATTAATTCAGAACAACTTCAACCTGTGTCAGGAAAAGTTGCTTTTTATTCACTAGGTATACCTGAGTTAAGCTTACATGAGGCTCATTTGAGGCATCTGTTCAGTAACTTGTTAGTAGGGTTCGACTGAATTCAATTATTTCTAAAAAACCAAAAAAGAAAAACTTCTTAAATTTAAGAAAAAGGGGGTCATATTAGGTAAGCCTGTGTGAATGATGAGTGATGGTACAGCATTTCCCTTCAACGTATGCCCATGCGCCAGGACCAGGAGGCGCCACGGTCAACTGGCATTTCCTCTTGGGGATGTAAGTCAGCTCTGCAGTCCTCAGCACTGTAAACTGGGTGGATGTTAGTTAAAATTCTCTCCAGTACTAATTATCTCTAAAATTAGAAATGCCATTTGCATCTGTTCACATGTAAATTTTAAAAGTATATATTTGGTTTAAGCTACTAATCCTTGCTTTTACTTCCAGTGATCCTTCTAGGGAAACAAACTTTCCCCTCTTAAAGACTCTGTAGTTTTAGTCTCTCTCTCTCTCTCTCTCATACACAAACACACACCTCTTGAGAGTCACGAAAGATGGGTTATTTACTCTTCCTTTCAAAAACCCTGCCATTTGAGTGGGAAAGACCTAATGCCTGGGACATCTGGGTCATGTGTTATTAGAAAGAGAATCTAACTGACTGCACTCGCTTTCCCCAACCTCTGGTAATAAATGCTTCTCTCCAAGACTTTCTGCTTTATTCTCTTAAAGTGATCCCTGACTATCATGAGAGACTCAGAGCACAGCTGACATTCAGAGGCATTTTTTATCCCAGGCAAAGGAGTAGCTACATCGTCTGGTAGGGAATCTGGACGATCATCAGTTCTGAAACAAGTTTGTCTGTTAGAGAGAGAGATTAGTTTTTTTTTTTTTTTTTTTTTTTTGCTATAGGGTGCATGTGCTCGTCAGAGAGAGACGGAGAGACAGAAAGTGAGAAATCACCCCCCAGGAGGGATGGTCATGCCGCAGTCCCTTCTCCTCCATTCTCCTCTTTGGACCTTGGGCACACACGCACACGCGCCCGGCATGAGTTTTAAACCACCGGGTCCAGGACGCGAACTGCAGTCGACTACGTAGGAGTCCAGCGGCATAGCCATTATGCTAACTCTGGTCCCTGAGAGATTGGTTTTGATGGGATTTTGCCATGGTGGGATTTTCCTGCCCCAGCCTCCCTGCCAGGTATGATCATGGGTGTGTACTACTGTGCCTGGAGCACTTGGGTTGAACTGGAAACTAAACTCAGGCCTCCTATGAGGCCCCAGACCTGCGCAGCAGTGTCTTAGCTGTGTGCACCACCACAGCTGAGTCAGATCGGCATTTTTGACAAATCGTTATTCACTAGGCATGGGAGCTATGCAGAAGGCAAGCTGTGGTAGCGAGGATTTTACTTTACCCTGCCAGGGTTGAGAAGGGCAAGAGAGACCTCTGGATGAGCCAGACTTTCCCACAGGCTGTGAGTGGTATTGGAAATCCTCTCCTGGTTACAGTGGGAAGCTTTACAACGAATACTCTAGTTCAAGTGGGTGGACTCAGGAAGCTGCATTTTCACTAAGCGCCCATTTGATTCTTAGGGAAGCTGCTCTTCACTGTCCTTACCATTAGCTAACCTTACATTATGCAGTCATCTGTCACTTGTCCTCTCTTGGTTCATTCCCTCCCCTCACCAGAATGTTCCATGCTGTAAGAAATTTGTCTTTTTGCTTATTGCTACATATATCCCCAGAATCTGGCACATAATATTGTTCAATAACATCTTCAATGGTTACTTATTAAGTATATTAAAGTCTGAAAAACAGTGCTCTTTGGAGATGTTGCAAAATATTGATGACTTGTCCATTTCTTATAATAAAATCTCCTTTTGCTATGTTGTGACAACGTACTTGTGAATATGTTTGAATACATGGAGGTGGGTGATAGGAAAGATTGTGATCAGTCACTTGACTGACCTGGGATTTCAGATATAAATTGGAGATAAAAGTGATATATCTGGATTTTAAACTAGACCATTTACGTCATGAACCTATGTTTTCTTAAACCAGTATTTCTGTTAAAACCAGACTTTCATTCTGTCTATTCATTAGAATAGTTTAAATAATTTCTATCAGGGTTTGACTATAAATCCACCTGAGTATTGGGAGTGGTTGGCAGAACCAGCAGATGGCATAATGGTTAAGTCGCTGGACTCCCACGTAGTCAACCATGGTTTGAGTCCCAGACCTGGTGGCTTAAGACTCATGCCAGGTGCATGTTCGTGCATGCATAAGATCCTAGGAGGAGAATGGATGAGAAGAGGTTATGTGTGGCCATCCTCCCTGTGGGGTGATTTCTTGCTTTTTGTCTCTCTGTCTCTCCAATAAGTATATGTGCCTTATAGCAAAAATCTCTTTAAAAAAAATGGGCTATATCATAGCAGTGAACCCTTATACTATAAATATGAGTTCTCTTTATTGGTTTGTCACACTGGGCAAAGCTTGATTATCCACCTAATCATTGTATAGTTTATCTAAGACTCAAATGAAAAGTTTATTCTTGAGTTTTATAAGATCCCAACAAAGGAAAATGAAGTGTTCTTTCGTCTACAGACCAAGCACAAGTATTAGGGTGGCCTGCCAAGCTCAAAGTAGAACAAAAATGTAACTGTTACAGCCAAGTTCAGTTATCATAAATTTAAATATGCATTCCTTCTACTCGAGAATGGCTTATTTCCGTCACTTAAAGGAAGAGCTGACTCTTCCATTGCAGACATGCAGCAGCCTTGGAAAAAAGCTATAAAGTAAATTAAAATACTCACAAGATATTTCCTACCCTATAAAATGTGCACCAGCTTCAAAATGTTTCCAGCATGTCTCATGATGAAGCTAAACAGAAAACCATGTAGCTATGGCCAAACTTAATTTCCAAGTTTACCTGTAAATAGTAACTCTCAACCAAAGAGATCAGACAAAGAATTACTGGACAGGAGAGAAAATCACTACATATTGCTTTAATAAGAAACATTTAAATAAAAAATAAAGAACAAAGAGAAGCACTAAGAAAGAAAGTAGAATTATCACTACACTGTGTCAGAACAACCTTTTTTTTTTTGAGAGGTTTTCGCTATAGGGCGTGTGCGCTCGCCAGACAGAGACAGAGAGAGAGAAAGTGAGAAATCACTCCCCAGAGGGGATGGCCACGCCACAATCCCTTCTCCTCCATTCTCCTCTTGGGATCTTGGGCACGCACGCACACATGCCCAGCGTGAGTTTTAAGCCACTGGGTCCGGGACGCGAACCGCAGTTGACTACGTGGGAATCCAGCGACATAGCCATTATGCTGACTGCTAGTTCCCAGAACAACCATTTTGATAAGAGTGTTTTTGGCATTTTGCTTTATGGTTGTGTCTACTGAAATCTTCTTTGGGTAGAGGTCATTTGATCAGGTCACCCTATAGTTAACAAGCAAGACTAGACTTAGAGATGAGACCATGCATGTCATCAAATATAATATGCTGCTTTTCTCAGTCATGTGGGGCAGATGCTGACATCCAAGAACCAGGACTGACTGGAGTCTTGAAGTGGTTGCCTGCTGAGAACTATCTGGATAGAAATGGAGTCCAGATCATTTGAATACCAACTCTTCAGGAAGCAAGAAAGAAGGTGGGAATTGCCTTATCACAACAGGCCAGAAGCTAGGAAGTAAGGAGCCTTGAAGACAATATAAGCACTTGGAAATATTACCTTGTAGGCAATATTAACTCTGATAGCTCCTGGTTACTTTAGTGGGTGAACAGTTTCACATGTCTTTGACTCTTTTTCTATCATTTTATTGTGGAAGTGAAGGAGAAGGAAGGAGAGAGTGAACATTTATCGAGTGTCTAGAATGCTACATATGTGTTCATAAAGTTCCCACATTCTCTTTCCTTGGGGTTTCTCTTAAATGCTCAGTAAATGTGACCTGAAGCTTCATCCTACAAGATTTTTATCTTCTGCAGTTTCTTCTTTCTTAGTAATTCTGACACTTCATTCTCTAATCTAATCTTCATCATTGCTTACCCTGGACTTCTCCAGGTATTTCTGCCTACATTTCTTGCCTTCTATAGACTCCTGCTGGCTTTCCTCACCTCAGCCACCCCAAGTGTGAACAAAGTCCCTACTCTTTTTCCCAGAAACCATAACTACTGCTTGTTTTTAGTGTATGACAAACTTTACAAATGGCTCGCAAATATACATAAGGCAACTACAATGCCAAGATGGGAAATTCAGACTGTAGATTAGATAGCTCTACTCCTGCCAACCATGAGTGGAACTTCTTCACAGGGATCAGCTGTTGCTACTTCCTTCCAAGCCACTAGTCTGCTACTCAGGTCAGAGGCCAGCCCAGACCCCTCAACTCTATATTCACTTGACTTAAGCTAGTTTTTCTCTCACATGTTCTTAATGTTCCAGATTAGCTTTTTCCATTACTGTGCAAAGAAGCCTACCTCCCTATTCTCTAGAATGTCTTCATTATAAAATAGGATTTGGCTTTTTGCTTTGAATAGCTAAATTTCTTCTTGAAATGCTCTTCTCAGAGTAGACCCTAGTGCAGTGGTTAAGCACTGTATATAGGGAGCTGAATTTTGCCAGCTGCAGTTTGAATTCTGGCCCACAGTGGCTTAAGAAACATGACAGGCTTGTGCACATGCATGCTCACAATCCTGATGGGATGGAGAAAGGACGGAAAAATGATTGTAGTGTGACTATAACCCAGGGTGCTTTCTCTTTCATGTGTGCTCCTCTCCCCCTTTCATGAGCACATAACACCCTCTGGCAATGGAGAAAAAAAAATGAAATACACTTCTCAGACAAAAGAGCCAACCCCCTCCAAAAGTACATTTTTGTGCAACAGATAAAAACTGCAGGGTAATAAATATATGTATGTATGTGTGTGTGTGTGTGTATTACATGAATAGTTGTATATATGTGGTACATATTTTCCATATTACTATATATATATAATATTCATGTCTATATGGCTATAATCTGACTATGTCTCCCCAAATTCATGTTTGGCAAACTTAAGATTAATCTCCAATGCAACAGTGTGGAGAAGTGGGCCCTAAGGGAGGTGTTTAGTCATGAGAGCGTTACCTTCATGAATAAATTAATGCTGCTGTGTAAATTAATGCTGCTATACAAGGGGCTTGCAAGGTGTGGTGCGCTTGCTTCTGCTCTTCATCTTCTACTTGCCTTCCCACCTTCTGCCATGTGGAGACACAGTAAGATTCAGTAGTAGATGTACTTTGACCTTAAGCTTCTTAGCCTCCACAGCTATGAGTAATACATTTCTGTTTCTTATAAAATAATTTCTCTTTCTTATAAAATACGAACCTCAGGTATTTTGTTATAGGAGCACAAAATGGGCTAAGACATAACATTATTTTATTATGTAAAATATTATAGCCCAGGTCCAGTCCTATGGCCTACTGGTTAAGGGAGCCGTGTCTACCTATGGTTCAAATCCAATCCCTGGTAGCTTCCAACACAATTGGAAAGTGTGCATGTGTGCCCCAAATTCCAGTAGGATGAAAAAGTAGAGGAGAAAGGATTGCAGTATGACCATGCTACAGTGCCAAGATATCTCTTACTTGCTCTTTCTTTCTCTCTGTCCTGTCTCTGGCAAGTACATATATCATCTGGAAGCTAAAAAATGTATTTATATAAAAATATGGTCCAGGGACTTGCAGGTGGCATCATGGTTAAGGTCTCTGGACTCCCATATGGCCAACCATAGTTTGAGTCCTGGAACTGGTGGCTTGCTTTCTCACTTTCCCTCTCTCTTTTGCTCTGTCCTTATCTGGTCAAATTAAAGTAAAGAAAGAAAGAAAGTTAAATAAAATAATTATTAAAAAAATATGGTCCAGATTTTTGACCTATTAAATTGCTTATTGTCTGCCTTCTCTTACTGTAATGTAAGCTTCATAGGGTGTGACTTTCTGTGTGTGTGTGTGTGTGTGTGTGTGCACGCGTATGTGAGAGAGAGACTATTGTATCCAAAACAGTGTTTGACACCTATTAGGCACTCAGTATGTGCTTGCCAAGTGAATAATTCTTATTTAACCCATGATATAAGACTATGAGATAAGTAGTATTAACCTCATTTTGCAGAAGGAAAAGAGAAATTAAAAGAGAAGTTAACTTTTCTAGGCTCTCATAGCCAAGAAGCACTAGAACACTTTTGATGAGCTTTGAAGCCAATGCTATTTCCGATACATTTACTTATTTTCATACTGTTTCACCATACTGTGTCCACCAGTATCTACCCTGTCTCAGTCATTTTATTTTATTTTTTCTCCTTAAGGGTTTTGTCTGAGCTTAACCAGACTTTTAAGGGGACTTTCTCAGGACAATAGTAGTGGGCGTGGAGATAAAGCCCTCAAGGAAAGGGAAACTGCAACAGACTGGAATCAGGACCATATAATCTAATGGTTTTGTCCTTTTAATAATTATTCCTTACTCGCTTCAATCCTAATCTTTGCTAATAACAAAACAAAATGCATAGTTCCTGGTAACCTTTTCCTAGGTTTCTGACATGAGTTTGTTCCATATTTGAGAGTTCTTTGTTCCCTCTTTTGGGTCCATAGCCTATTCTGGAAGAGCCGGTTGCATTCTAATAACCTGAAACAGCACACTTGGATGACTGACAGTGGAACAAATCTACAGCTGTGAAACCCAGGGGCACACCATGCAGAACTTGTATACTCAGAGGCCGCCCTGAGTTAAAAGCAGAAGAAACAGCAAGAGAGAAAAGAAGGGCTTAACAAGATCACTGCAGTCCCCAGATCATTTGGTGGTCTTACTAGCTTTGCTACTTACCACAGTGTCTAACTCCTAACAGATATGTAATAAATAGCCCATGGTTGATTAATGAATTTCCTTAATACTGAGTAGTTCCTTGTTTTTAAATATGCATAATATTTTGTTCTTAAGGATTTAGGACCTTTTCAAAGGAGTATAGAACTAGTAGCTTAATGGCTTCCCATCTAAAGAGTAAGCATCCTGACTTCATATGCCTGGGGTTCTGGAGGATGCAGAAAGGAGCTAAATTAGACAAAAATGTAAGAGACTGCCTAGCTAAAACTTCCTACAGTAACTGTGTATATGCTACTCTTCTCCTGGCATGAAACATTCCATTCACCTGCTCTAGACACATTTTGAATAGGAGTGGCCATCTTGTTAGGTGCCTTCCATCCTAGCCCTTTGGTTGAGAGTTTCACTTGAACTGAGTGAGGCCTGTCATCCTCCTCCCTTGTTTCTTTCTTTTCTATCTGAAACTGAAATGCTTGGTGGAGAACATTTTACTCCTCTCTGATTATGAAGAGGGACTTTGAGTGAACACAGGACCAGTGATGTCTAGATTCTTCCACCTAGAGAAGCTAATTTGTGAGAGCTGCTAGCACTGTTCCTAACAGCCACAAAGTGGAAACAATCCAAATGTCAGTCAACTGATGAACGCATAAATAAAATGTGGTGTAGTTATATGATGGAATAGTCTTTAGTCATGAAAAGAAATGAACTAATGACATGTGCAATAACATGGAAGAACCTAGAGAACATTATACTAAGTGATGGAAGCCTGTCACAAAGGCATACATATTGTATGATTCCAATTTGTATGTGCACTATCCAGAAAAGGCAAATATATTGAGACAGAATGTACATTAGTGGTTGTCTAGTACTAGGGGTGATAGCAAAGGGGTGCAATGTTAACTGGGAAAATGAAAATATTCTAAAATTGATTATTGTGATGGATACATAATTCTGTGAATACACTAAAGCCATTGAACTGTGTACTTTACATGAGTAAATTGAATGGCATGTGAATTATTTCTTAATAAAACAGTTTTAAAAATAAAGAAGCTGAGATAAGAGATGGATGGTGTTTGAGTCACTGACTCTAAACTTGTTACTTAAATTCTACCCTTGATAGTCTCAAAATTTGGTTTGATTAGCCAATAAAACCCCAATTCCTCCCTCTTTCTTTTTTTCTTTTCTTTTAAATGTTTTCTTAAATTAATTTCAGTTGGCTTTCTGTCACTTGCCATAACAGCGCTACTGTTACCAGGGGTTGTATTTAGGGGGAAGCGGGGATGTACCACCCTGTCAGAGGACTCTCAGCTTCTACTATCACAGGGACCAGCAGTTAGTGTAATGGCTATGTCGCTGGACTCCCATGTAGTCAGTTGACCGTGGTTTGCGTCCCAGACCCAGTGGCTTAAACTCACGCCGGGCGTGTGTGCGTGCGTGCCCAAGATCCCGAGAGGAGAATGGAGGAGAAGGGATTGAGGCGTGGCCATCCCCCCTGGGGGGTGATTTCTCGCTTTCTATCTATCTGTCTCTGTCTGTCTGTCTGGTGAGCGCACGCGCCCTATCACGGAAACCTCTCCAAAAAAAAGAATATACTATCACAGATAGTGATATCCTTACACATATGGATGTGATATAAATGTTTAAACCTTAACCTAAGGGATGGAGCTCTGCCCATAGGGGACTGAAACTGAAGGTCCTCTTCCTTCAACTCAAGTTTCTTTGATGGTATTGTGCTGAGTTATCTTTTTTTTTTTTTTTTTTGAGATTTTTGCTATAGGGCTTGTGTGCTCACCAGAAAGACAGAGAAAGACAGAGACAGAAAGTGAGAAATCATCCCTCTGAGGGGATGACCACGCCACCATCCTTTCTCCTCCATTCTCCTCTCAGGATCTTGGGCACACGCACACATGCACCCAGTGTAAGTTTAAGCCACTGGGTCCAGAACTCGAACTACAGTCGACTACATGGGAGTCCAGTGACATAGCCATTACACCAACTGCTGGTTCCTGGGCTGAGTTATCTATAAAATCCTACCTGAGAGATTTTATTTTTTTTCTAGTATTCATAATTTTTGTTAAAAAAATAGATGAATTTTATGAGCTGCCTTGAAAAACCAGATTATATTTATAAACTTGTAGATCTGGATATTTTGGGATGTTTTTACCAGTCTCTAGGTAGAGTTTTGTAAATTAAAGAACATTATGAACTCAAGCAAATGAAATCATTGGACATCATTGGATGATGACAAGTACAAAGGCTGGGTTCTGTGTCACCACTGACTGTACAGATAAGGCTTTTACATGCATACACACACACACACATACACACACACACTCACAACCATGTCTGTTCATAAAAATAGTTTGTGTTGCCCTCTATTCCTTAACTATTTCTGGCCTATCAGAGATTTAAAAGAAAAATGCTAGGGAATTTTCTTCTTTGTATAAAAAAATTCTGGGGGACTAGCAGGTGGTGGGTGGTTAAGGTGCTGAACTTCCACATGACCAACCATGGTTCAAGTCCCAGACCTGGCAGCTTACTTCCCCACTTACTCTCCTTGGTCAAATTAAAATAAATAAATAAATAAATACATAAATAAATAAATGAAATCAAACAAATAATTCTAAAAATATTGCTAAAAGGTGGGTGTGCCCACTGGAGAGAGACAGAGAGAGAGAGTGAGAGAGAGAGAAGGAGAGGGAAAGTGAGAAAGCACCTCCCATGGGGAATAGTCACACCACAATCATTTCATCTCTAAATCTCCCTCCCCTCAAGATTTTGAGCATGCACACACATGTACCTGTTGTGTGCCTCTGGGTCTAGGAATCAAACCATGCAGTCAGTAATGTGGGCTCCAGCCATCTTAACCACCATGCTGCAAGCTGGCTTCGCTGGAGAATTTTCCATTGTACCATTTAAATATTTGAAACACTGTGTGATGCAGCAAAACAGTTATGTTTTAGCTATAGTAGAACACATTTACAGCAGTGCTTCTCAAACTATAGCCTTCATCATAATCACCTGAGGGCTTTTTATAACACATATTGTAGGACCCCATTCCCACGGTTTCTCACTCAGCCAGAAAGGGTAGGCCTGAGAATGTGCATTACTGACACGCTCCCAAGGTACATTGATGCTGGAGACCACTCTTCAAGAGCCATTGGCTTACTATGGTTTTATATGTTTTATCTGCTTGAGTGCTTCACTTCTAAAAACTGATATTAAATTTGGAACCTAACATTTGTTATAGTTTAGAATTGGAATTTGATCCAGTGACTTGGAGCTCATTTCTCATTCTTAAGGCCCCAGTTTTAAATTAAATGGTTATCATTTTAATTTTTAAATGTTCCATTGCAAACATCAGTTTTGGTCCAATTCAGTGCTTGTGCTTTCCACATCAGTTTATTCCCAACATCATTACAGTCCTTGAGGGACAGTTGAAAATGTAAATTCTCGATTGAGTAGAATCTGGCAAAGAAAGGGGAGGAGTGGGTGGAGTGGCTGGACTCTAAACTATCAACTGCACGGCTATCTAAAAATAAGTCCTCTCAGGCAAGAAGAGTGGCTTAGAGATAAAAACTAGGGTGATTAAGAACTGTTCTCAGAATTGCATCTGAGCTATATGAGTTTTCACGTGACACTTCCTTTTTTTCCTCCGCTGGGAGAAGAGAAATGTGCTGAGATACCAAAATACCAAGCTTCATGTGACTTCAAATAAATTAGGAGAAAGAGCAAGTCAGCACAGGGGAGACAAGGAATTTCAGTGCCCAGTTTAAAAATATTTTGGCTAAGCTTATTTAGCCCTCTATAAGAGCAATGTTCTGTGCACGTGTAGTATGTAGAAACACATACATACATTTAAATACATGTGCCTGTGTCTTTTATCAGAACTTTGGGTCTTTTAAAAACATGCAACATAATGTGTATAGAGAGTTGCACATATCATAAATGTATAGCTTAAAAATTCAAGACTGAACACATCTATGTAATTAGCATGTAGATAAGGAAGATGTTATTACCACTTTCCTAGAGACATCCTTATGATCTCTCTGCTATTTTCTCCTAGGATAACTACTAGCCAGTCTTCTGACAGCATATACATTTTTAATTTTTTCCTTTTATTGGCTTCTCAGAAAAGTTACGACGTATTTTTCTATGCGAAAATGTGTCATGACTCTTCTGATCCTTCACTATATAAATAGATCACACAGTATATGTCCTTTTATGTCTCTCTTCTTCCATTTTTCAGAAAACAAAGAAGCCCTAGTGTGTTTTAAAGCTTTAATTTTATAATCGAAAAAGTAATAGGTGCCCATCTTTTAACTGGATTGGTAATTTTTTTGCAGGGAAGCTGGCTGAGTTCCCTATATATTTTGGTTATCAATCCCTTATCCGAGGGAAAGTTTGCAAATATATTCTCCCATTCTAAGGGTCATTTCTTCACTCTAATTATTTTTTTTTTTGCTGTACAGAAACTTTTTAACCTGATGTAATCCCACTTTTCTATTTTGGGGATTATTGCTGTGCTTTGGGGGAGTCTTATTTAAGAAGTCTTTGACTAGTAATATGACAATGTATATGATTTCTTTGACTAGACTAATGTACAGGGTATTCATGCTGAGAAAATTAATTTTCATTGTTATAAAGATATACAGTGATTGAATGTAAAAAAACAAGAAAAAGTAAAAGAAAGAAAAAGTAATATATGTAGTGAAATTCTATAAAATGTAAACAATGCCTAAGCATATAAAATAAACATATTTGTTCAACTTAGTAATAGATCATTTATTCCCATTGGTGTACAATTCCATTGTGCAGACTTATCATAATATGTTTATAGATTACATTGCTGATGGACATTCAATAATCTCCATACTATGGTTTGGACAATGATGGTTTGTCCCCAAAGACTCATGTTCTGGAAGATGGGTCTCTAGTGTAATTGCTTTTGGAGGGGGTGAGAACTTCAAGATGTAGAGCCTAATGGCAGGGCATAATTCAATTGGCTAGGAGCATGGGAAGGACAAACAGAAGAAGTAAAAAAGTCTATTTCTCTCTCTTTTTCTCTCCATCTTCAAATGGTTTCTGACCTGCCTGCTTTTCTTGAATGTGTTGTGTCAATATCAGAGGTCAGTCAGTTGCTGGACCCATGCTCTTTGACATCCCAGTCATCAGAATTGTAAGTCAAATTTCTTTTTGTTATAAACAACCTAGTCTCAGATATTTCTGCTTAATAGTATTAATTATGAACTAACAGAGGAATTTGGCATTGCCAAGATTCTGGTGAAGGCTAAGAACTGTTTAGGAATGAACTGAAAATTTTCAGAAATTGGTTTTGTGGTTATGATTAAAGTGCTAATAAAGATATGGCTAATAGAAGCCATTGTGAGATGTTAGATGG